CTGGGTAATTAAACTTGTTATGATCGTCTTTCTCACTTACATGATCAAGAAGGGGAGACATTGCAACAGCATTCACAGGACGTTCCGTCCCGTATGTCTTAATAAGTTTCAACGTTCTTGTATCCCAAAGCTGAAAAATTTGGACAAATCAGTCGGCAACTCCATGCAAATTTGGCAGTAATATGCAATCAAAGATATTTAATGAAACATTAAAACAAAAATCACCTTTGCGGACTTATCCAGGGAACCAGTGAGGAAATGTGAACCATCAGCAGATTTTGTAAGTGAGGTAATAGGTTTTTTGTGGCCTTCCTCCTTGTTGGATTCTTTCAGTAATTTCCCAGTCTGTAACATGAAAGTGGAAATAGAAGAAGAGATTATTGTTTGGGTCGCAAGAGTCTATTATGTAGTAAAATTTAATCTTTCATTGGAAACAACAAACACGTCAGCAACTCTTCAAGAAATACTGACCTCAGAATCCCAGATACGAATTATTGTATCTTCACCAGCACTTATGATTGTTCTGTTTAGGGGTCCCCAAACTGCTCTGTTGATTCTTCCCTGTGGCCCCTTCAGTGTAAGAACTGATTCAGCAGTCTCTGCCATTTCAAATATTCATTATTTTATCCAAATACCAATAAAACAGTTTGTTGACACAAAAATCTCAGGCAAAGCAGTTAGGCAATCGGCAACAATAACATTGACATTATCAGTTACAAACAGCAAGTAGCAGCAATGGGCTCAAGGTACGTCCAGCATACAGCCATCATAAACATTTGGAAATATCACTTTTTTACAACAGTTAGCTAAAATTATGTTCTCTTTTTTCACTTGAGATTCACAGTGACATTTGCAGGGCAAAACAATCTCCAACAAGTTCTCACAGTTGCAACCATTTTTGTCACCCATAGTATCATACTGAACTAATCTTGAAGACTGACACTTTTTGACTTAGTAAAAGACTCGTTTTTATCACTATAAATTTACATTACAATCACCTTATTCAAAGCTCTGATGTCCAATTTACTTTTCAAACAGAAAAACAAAAGCAAGCGGAATCTACATGCATAATGCTAGAACCAAAAAGTTTCAATTTGCTGCAAAGAAAAGAAAGAACACAAATCTGAAGAAAAAATGATTAAAACGTAAACTTTAAAGACACTCACGGTCTTCTGGATCTGTGGCAATTCTTTTGATGTGAATCGCAGAAGTGAACCCCATAAAAGGATCTGTAGTGATAACTGCTAATTTGTCACCAACAGCAAACTCCACAGACCTAGCAGGTGATTCAAAATTGAATGTATACAGCGGTGTTCCAGTTCTAACATCCCATAACTTTGCAGTCTGATCTGCACTTCCAGTTATAAGCCTCGATGAATCCCCTACAAACAACAAAAATAATTCTGATTCCACAACCTTTCTGTGCATGTGAAAGCAAACCAGAATAGTAAAAACATTTGGAGTATGCAGTAACAAATATGTTAATCTTGTAACATACTCCAATAACAAATATGCTAATCTTGTAACGGAAGATAAGAAGAGAGAGATAAAATTTTGCACACAAAATCATCTTTGATTTGGCCTAAATTTCTTTGCAACATAATAATTTCTCAAAACGCAAACAAAAATAGATTTTTGTATCAACATAAACGCCAAGTGAATATTAACCTCTGAAGCTAAAAAAAAAAAAAATTAAAAAAATTAAGCTTTTGTTTTGCCCAATATCCACACTTCTTCAAAGGAAAGAACCCTCATGAAAAATTACAGGACTTTAGATTGGATACTTTTCATATGTCCTGGAACCTCCTCAATCAGAGCACCAGATAATTGTCAAAAATAGGCGAAGAGTAAGACAACAAGAAAATAACGGGAAGACAACAGCAGGTAAAAGAATATTACTGGATATATCGCAGGACCAAACAGCTCCGTTGTGGCCACGGTAGGTGCCGAGGCGGTCGCCGTTGTCGGCGAACCAAACGGTGGGATTATGGTCCTTGGCGCAGGAGAAAAGCAGATCTCCCTCTCGATTGTACCTCAGAAACGTCAGGGGACGCTCGTGACCTTTCATTAGAATCGGCCTCATTTTGATTTTTCTTCAACTGAGGAATTTCGGCAGATGAAAGAACCCTAATTCGAGTGTTCTTCTTTTGTTTACCTTTTATTCTCCCCAATTTATAATTCTCAATTCCTTCCTAAACATACTTGGCATATTTAGTTTGTCGTTTCCAAAAATTATATGAATCACTATAAAAATTTCTGTAACTTTTAGGATTCTATTGTTAAAAAAATATTAAAATTATTAGTATTGTTATTATAGAAATTATTTATGCATTTTTAAAGAGTTTGTGTAACCTATTAAGATAACTAGTAGATATCTTGTGCACAT